TGCAAAGCTGCTCTTCTGAGCCAGGGCAGAACGGGTGAGAAAAATTTAGAGTTTTTTCTCTGTTTTTGTTTTTTTTTTTTTTTAACCCCTTCAGTTTATCTTCTGAAATGCAGTTGTTAGAACAAGGCAGAGATTCTGCAGAACAACCCGGCTCCCTGCTTGCTCCCCCAGGCACTGAGCTGGGGGATGTGAGTCCTTCCAGCAAGCTGAGTTTTTTATTGTGCAAAGAGATTCAGAGAGGCAGGAAAAGGCGGGGGGGGGGAAAGCCTTGAACAAGCCGAGAGCGAAGTCTGAGAATGAAAAGGTCCAGACAGCGCAGTGTGCAGACCACAGACCCAGCACAGGTCTCTGCTGCCTTTCAAGCCACTGTTGGGGTGGCATGGAGAAGAATGATGTCCAAAGGATGATGAAGCCAGTGGTGAGCCTGGAGGAGGCTGTTAACTGAGAAGGGATGTGAAGGAAGAAGAAATTGTTCAACCCTGGACAAGGAAATAAAAAAATTGATGAGGGTGGCAAGTGAGCAAGGAGATACTTAGTAAAAGTGATGAGGAATTTTTCTGAAAATCTCTTTCGTTTTTTGCCAAGAAATGCTTATTTATAAAACCAAAATTGCTAAACCAACAGATTCTTATGAATTTCTGTAACATGAAAAATAACTGGGAAAAAAGTTTGGAAATCGAAATTGCTCATCCCATTTTTATAAAAAAAGCATGGTTTAGATTTTTGAATTGGTAAAACATTGTACTCTCAAACAAGGTGGACGACTTCTCAAAGGTCAGAATCAAAACAACACATTTCAAGATGGTAACAAGTGTTTCAGTTGACCCAGAGTTCATGCTTGGAGATCTTAATGCAAAATAAATATGGGTCTGGTCTTGTTTTTACTGCAGTCAGTTGCAGATCTCCCACAGCCACCTCTGATGGAAGACTTTTGGCATCACTGGAAGACATGATGAGATAAAGCTGTGTTTGTACAGGTGCCCTCACACACATGCCAGCCTGTGGTGATATGAAGCAACGTGAACCCACAGAACCCCACATCATGGGCCAGACCTATGGATTTCAAGTGATGATCTGAGGAACAGCCTCATGCATCCATGAAAACCCAAACCTCAGGGACCTCTCTCAGTGATCTCACCATCTCCTGCTCCTAAATGACCTCTGTTTTTGAACTTAATATCTCCTTTGTGTCCAAGTCCAAGGTTTAGAAGTCTCCCCCCCAAAAAAGGATCACAACCCCCTTGTTCAGTGGTGTATGTCCCAGCAATTCTTTGGTGATGGGGAGGAAAGGCTGTAGGTACTGCTGGGCATGTTCCCTGTTGGCTGTGGACCTTTCTGCACTGCAGGATAAAGTCCTCTCCAGGCTGTGGTTGTCCTAGACCAGGTTCTGCAGTGCAGGAGCATGTGATTTCTGTCTGGTGATAAACTGGAGAGAAAGGGTAAAAAACCCACACCTTTCCTCTCCTCTGTCCTCCCCAGCAAAATGCAGGCCAGCTGTAATTTATTCTGCAACTATTACAGTTCTTGCTGTTCAAGCTACTCAGCTGCTTTTGACCAGTTAGAAAACAACCAACCAACATCTGCACAAACAATACTCAACATCTATTGCTTTTGGGAAAAGGAAGCTTGGAGCATCCCTGGAGCAGCTACAGGAGTTGGCCTCCCCTCCCCAGCTCCAAGCCACATCAGGCTGGCTCGAGAGACTCACCCAGCTGCCACAGAGCAGTGCTAGAGCCACTGACCAACCACTGACCCGGTAGAAAATGATGTAGCTGTGCAAAAACGCTGATTTGTAACTGGTACTTTAATCCCCAGGAAACATAACAAGTTGGTGTAATCTCTGTAGCCCTTGCCTGATATTTAATATAACAATATAATAGCACTCGAACTACTTAGTTCACAGGCGTGACTTATTATAATAGAGAAAACACAATTTGCAGCTTACTGAGTACAACTCATGTGAGCTCTGACCTTTTAGGACTTTTTGGGCAGTACTGCATTAACTATAAAAATTATCATACGGACTTTGAATTCTGTCTTTGAAAGTTAACCACATCAGGCCAGTAGCACCATCACAATCTACAAACTGTCTTATTGCAGATAGGCATGAGGACTGTGGTTTTATGGCATATATAATTCACCTGTCCCCAGCTGGCCCATGAAGACAGAACATCATCACGGCACAACAGGAGGATTTAAATGCAGGGGAAGGACTCCAAACTAGGTATGGGGCAACTCATGTGGCATTTCATTGCCCAGAGAAACTACCATCACCTATAGGCAACTTCCTTGACCTTTTAGCCAGAAGAACCTGTGATCACCCTTACCTCTCACAGGTTTCTGAGATAGGGCTCTCTATGATCTTATATCAAGTATGCTTTGTTCAATTAACCTGGCATGTAATGCTTTGTTCTCATGAATTTTGGAGCTACTCTGATGTGCAGTAAGGCAATTGAGACTTAATTTCATTATTCATCTCAATATGTTCCCATTGTATTCAGAGAACAGACTATGGGCCCTCCTGTGGCTAATTTAGCACCTGCAAATCCCCATGCTTAAAGCCAAAGGCTGAACAACCTACTGAATGAATTTGCAGGAACTACGCACAGGTCAAATCATCATTCTTACTGGAACACTTTTTTTTTTCTTTAGAAACTTTGTATGCACTTTCCTGTCTCAAAAGGAGACCATCATGTCCTAGTTCTCCAAAACCAGGCTGTATGCCAGAATTATTTTTTTTTTTAAATAAATAATACATATTTTTAATTCCTTTTGACAAAACCTGAGCAGAGTTTGAAGGAAAGCAATGTACCTGGAGGATCTGGGCCATCCTTGGACTGAAGGTGTTAACAGCTACCTCCTCAGCTGCCATGGAGCAGGCACTGAAGTTAAGCAAGCATAGGCTATTTAAGCTAAAATAGTTAAGATGAAGCCTTCTTCATGTAAGCCAACAGACTCTGCACTGATATGGATGAAGATTGATCAAAAAGCCATTCTACTGTTTTCACCACAAACACAGCAGCTTCTAGTAGTCTGAAATAAATATTTAAGTGCAGTAAAATTGAAGACTTTTTGTCTAAATTTGCAAGATGCTACCTTCCCTGAATCAGATGATGCAACAGTTTTAGAATTGCTTACTCATTCTTACTGTTTGCACTCTAAGATGCTTCAGAGTTTAGTAATCATTATTGCTGATAACCAAACCTCAACAGGAATTTGCATATCTACCCTGCCCCCTCCCCATATTTTGTTTCAAAAGATGAGCTTCAGCACCTTGGAAAACAATGGTTACAAGATTCTGTACCTTAAGTCACATAACCATAACATACACTTATGCTGCTTTCTTGGCACAGTAGCAAGACTGTTTTTCTTCAACTGCATGACCCAAGCTGGAAACCCCTCTAAAAACTAATCTCTAAATTCAGATTAGGAATTTTTTTTTTAAACCACTGAGAACGCATGACTGAATATTTGTTATGCAGCCATAACAACTGTCCTTTTCAGGAAAGATTCCTGCATAATGTCAATACAGAGAATCCAAGGCAAACAAGACTTGATCTTAAAACTTTAATAGTAAAAAAAGTGTAAAACCAAACACACCGCTGAAAACTTATCAGTAAGAATGAGAATTTAAGTGTTCAAATTCAGAATAGTGCAAATTTTCTTCACTCCCCTCCTGCCTCTTCCAAACTTAAATCACTTTGGTTAAGATACTCATAAGTATTGGCAAAAAATGAACTTTTGACTTACATTTTTGGCTGCATTATTTCTAACACATACAGATTTAGTTTCATTCTTTACAAATAAATCTTAAATACTTCTTTATCAATCAAACAGCTGTAGAGATCACTGTCACCTTTACTTATATCTGGTTTTATAACATTCTGAAAATGGTTTCAAGATGATTACAAAACTGTCTCCCCAGCAGGTAGCATACTTCTTAAAACAGCTGAGCTGATCCAGTCCTGATCTGAGGACATAATTTCTTCAAGTAGTCCTATAAAATGTGATTATTTAGGTTTTAAACATTTGAGGAAGGATCTTATACCAATGAAATTACTCTTGACTTACACCAAAGCAAGATTAGAATTGGGGTCCGCTCTGTAATCCAGACGTGGTGCTAAACTTTTCCTGCTACAAAAAAGCACAAGCAGCAGTTACAGCATTCCCTTAGAAGAGTGAAAACAGCCAGAACTCTGCTACCTTTCCTCAACATCTTTTTTGATGGGTCAGTCTTTAACCGATGCCTCTAACTATATCTGAAGCCATGTAAAATTGGAAATGAACACAAAGTAATTTGCATAATACAAAAAGGCAAATCCATAAAAGTTTACAAGTACACCATAACCACAAAATTGGAGTATTTCTAAAAATTTGGGTTCAATGAAAGATACAACAAAACTAGCTTTACTAGTTAAATAAATTATTGCTCCATTTGACTCCATGCAGCATTGAAATGAACTCAGAACCCTTTTCTCTTTAATCTCTCATAAGAAATGATTGATATTGAAGAGAACATGAGGCTCAGATTTACTGTACATTGCACTTCAACTTTAAGACCTAATACTTGCTATTTAGGTCTCCTGTGTTCTAAGCTATCAAATGAATACGTTGTGCTCACCAGAACTAAGTATTAAGAAACACCAAATGTTTAATGTAGTGACATAAGCACTTTTTTTTAAGAAGGCAATCACAGATTGCAAGTTCCATAGGGTTGTGAAAAAACAAGTAGTGATCTCTTTCAGACACTGAACTGAGAAAACAAGCTGTTTGCTATTCTTCACATACAGTTTACATCACAGTTTAGGCCTGCTTCTGTTTCCAATCATTTCAGTCAAGACCCTGACTCAAACAGTGGCAAGATCAAGGACACATCTAGGAGGAAACTGCAGATCTAAGGAGTTGGGGACACATTCTCAATGGCCAAGCAATGGCCTGCAATGCACGTTTTTTCAGTGACACCAGACATTTAAGATACTCAAGACCTCCTTCAGTGAGATACTGAAGCATACATCTAGCATTAAGCGGGAGTACTCACACACACTTAAATTTCTTACTGAATTTGGGCCAGAATTTGATTCTTGCAAATCTGACTGCAAGCTTCAGAAGTAATGGAGATTCCAGTCAGAATTTCCTGATAAAATTCACATTAGAACAAGATTGTCTGCAGTGTTCACCTATCGTAATGAAGTAATTTAGAAATTCCAAACTAAGTGACTTCCAACCATTTGTCCCTCCAACCTTCTCCACCATCAAAGACAGAAACTTAATGCAGCATTACAAGTGAGGGCATGATTCCTTCATAAGACTCCTAAAAGCATTAATGCAATGCCTTTAATCCATTTCAGTCACTCTTATTTTTAAATAACCCTATTTTTTAAAGATTTGGATAAATACTATTCCTATTAAACCATACTTCATCATTGTTAAGCACCATCGATCTACTTCCTTTGGGCACTGATACAAGAGCTTGTAATTAAATTTCAAGGCTTTAGAATATGGCAGCTGCTTCAATAACTTACATTGGAATCTAATACTTGGAAAACTGCCACTTAGCCTGAACAGTTGTATGCAACTTGGTGTTAAACTCTTCCAGAGAACAGCCATATGCAATGCTTATGCGGTAAATCAGGGTAAGATTTCAAGATAAGCAGTTAATTTCACTTGGCTATTCTAAGAGTGGATTAATATTTTTTTTCCACAAGTCATTCGTGCAGTGAGCCCATAAAGAGATTATTTTTTCTAAATAATCTTCATTTTTAAACAGGAACACATCTTCATAATGTTGCTTTCACACTGGCACCATGCTCTCTTCTTCAAAGACTTAGTCATTGTGTGGTTTCTCTGGAATACCCTATGCATAAAAAACAACACACACATATTATATTTTAATGCCATCTGAGAAGCAACTACATTATGCAGTATTTTCAATGATTAAATTGTCTACTAACTTCAGTTAGGCTGACAATGACCTAGCAGACACAGCTTCTTATAAAAGCTCAACAAGGATGTACTCCTTAAGTGTAGACAGAAGAGTCACTATAGGTCTGTGCTGCCTCAATTAATGCATCTGATAAATCAATCTACCAATTGCACTGCTTTTTATAAGACTTTGTTAGCTTTCCTCCCTCTTTCAGTTTATGTCTTAGCAGAAGGTACACTGTGCTTCACTTTACGGGCACAAATTCATTTTTTTTTTTTAACAGCTCTCTTTCAAACTGTCTTCAAGCATAAGTTACTCTATTTTCCAATCAAAGCCTGGTATCAGATAGACTTACTCATTTCCTTTTAAGTCCCCTTTCTAGTATGAAACCCTATAGTATGTCAGTGTAAGAAATGTAACAAACTTTTCTTTAAATGTCGTAATATGTTCTTCTCATTCTAGAGCCAAAATGCCAATGTATTTGCAAGTACCAAATGTGTTCACAGTTCTACAGCCTCAAGCAGTAGCAAACAACAGATATTTGTGAAGTCCAAATTCTGAATACAACCCTAATTTGCCAGGTGTTGAGAATGATGGTTACAACTCAAAATGAAGTGTTGCCATCCTTTCAAATCAGCTGATGAGCACGGACTGAGCAGCTTTAGGTGTCACAATGAGCAGTGAAAGCTGATGGCGGCAGCACCTTCCCCTTTTCATTTGAAATCAAGCTATTAAAAAAAATGTTGGATTTCATCCTCATGCTTATAGCAAAAAATACTCCAACAAACAAACTAACCCCAAAACCCTCTGCTAACAGCAGGTTTGCCTAAAGGTAACACTGCACTTGGTTACTGCATGTAAGCTCGTTTGAAATCTGTTGATTGAAAAGCAGCAAGCACCTCCCAGCTAACATTTCTCAGGATGGGAGGGGATGTCTCAGGAACACTTCTAACTTCTTTTCTAACTGCAAAAGCTAGGCAGGGGCTGAGGAAGAAGCAAGGCACTTTACTCCACTGCAGTATTTTACAGGTGCCACCTTCTACTCCAGACATGCCCAGAAAATATCTACTGTTTGATCTGCAACTGTAACGTGCAGTCAAACAGCTCAGGGACTACAGGAGAATATAGTTAGAAAAATAATTGTTTTATTCAGGTTTAGTTTAAAAAAAATGCAATATTCCACCTTCTTGCCACATTCATATTGCCTGACAAAACGGATCGATGCTTTTGGGTCATCTCTATAGAAGAAAAACCTAGTAGACTGAATGCTACCATTCTGTTTTAGAAGTGGAATTCTTTGAATTCAAGAATTCCCTGAACGCTTCACAGTGACTTGCAGAAGTGTTCCTGTGAAAATGCCAGGCTTCTCCAAGTTTTTCCAGACTAAATAACGGTAATGTAAAACACATAAGGCACTTCTAGATAACCAGAACAGAATGCTTTGCTTTGCCAACTTCCCTCTTTCTTTGTAAGGAAGATGACAAGATTGACAGGATAGTTGCAGGCAGGAGCCAGTCTGATTTTAACTACATTCAGGTGAGATGCCAGGTGAAAATAAGTCAAAGTAAAAAAGTCCTATGCCTAATTTTACCTCTTTCTTCTTTAAGGCTCCCTTCCTTTGCTTTCTAACATAAGCAGCATAGCAAGTGGAAGTACTGTATACACCAATATGAAATACAGAACTACACCATATAACTGACTATAATTTTATTCTGACACTCTGCTTGCAATAGCAAAGCTTTAATAAAACTATATTAATATATCTTTTTCACTTGATGCGAGTGGCAAATTTAAAAAGAGGAATTATACCCTCTCCTCCCCCAACACGTAGTCCTAAGAAAAAAGCACATGCAGACACTATGCACCACTGGGATTTAAAGAGGGAGTAGTGAGCTTGTATTTTAAAGAGCTGCAGAGCAAACCAAAATTGACTGCGAAGTTAAGATTGTGACCATGGTCCCAGGAAATCTGTAATTTGGTATCAAGTCAGCATGAAAGAAAAATCTCAATAACAGGAGTAGATGTGCCCCATGCTGTTTTTTTTTTTTTTTAAACAGCTTTTTCTACAAGAAGTTACCATTAATTTAGAGTAACTGAGAATCAGTGCTAAAGAAATTATCTTTAATATTAGCCAGTGGTAGTCAACCAACATGGCTCTCTGTCCATCTGCAGCACCAAGTTCAGACTATCCACAGTAGAAGTACATTAGCATCCATCCACTGGGTTAGCCAGGCTAGGCAGAAGAGGCAGAAAGCCTATTCCAGAAAAGACAGCTAGCTTTAGACTAATCTTTTTACTCACTTGTGGTTCAGCCCCCAAAAGCAGCTCTCCCCCTTACTAAACAGTTCAGAGACTAATATTTCAGGAACTCCCAAGTCTACAAATGCTCTTCCTTCAGTAAAAATTAAAGGCACCTAAACCACAGCCTTAGAGAATTGAAATACTTGAAGGATGTTTTCCAGGCTAAAGGACTTATGTAGCAAAGAAAACAGAAGTGAAATCAATACAGTGTTAATTATTACTGTCCATCACTGTCAGAACACTTTTCACAACCAAGCCTTAGGCTGATGAGAAGCATATAGTCTTAAGTACGCTACATGGAAATAATTACTTAAGATGCAAATGAGACAGTAATTTACACTATATTATCCCATATACAGAGTGATATGTGAACTACGTCTTAAGTGACCAGAACGAGCATACTTGACTCTAGAGTGGTGGAATTTAATGCTATATAGGGCCATTTTCTTTCACCTACATAACAAAATGCTTTACTGCATAAATAGAGAAAGTCTATCTGTGTCTCAGTTTTCTAGCTACCTTAGATGTTAATTCAAATTACTGGTGGAGCAGGAGCGACTAAGATTTTCACCAGAAGTGGAGTACTCATTGCAGTCTTATTTAGGCTGTTGCTCGAAAAAGTTAAACACAGAAGACACTGCAACACTTACTAAGACAATTCCCACTCTACTGGCAACACAGGTTGTATGCTTACATTTCAACTCTTGAGAACATATCTATTTATCTCTGTCAATTTGTGAGTCATACCCTTAAAGGCATAGTTTGTTCTTGGACTAACAACAATGAAAGGTATTTGGATTGTTAAGGGAAATGCTAATTATACAGTAATTACCATAGCCAGTTGGCGTCCTATGTTTCCTACAGTCACACCTCCTGAGAAAAATATACATGGAAGCCAAGAACGGATGTAAAGAAAATCAGGGGATGTATACCTAGTAAACAAAAGGAAGTAAGTTAGAGACAAGTTATTATCATCACCTTACATACTGTTAACAAGATGCTATAGAATTCTCTCCCTGGACCCAAACAAAAAAAACCCCAGTAACACAGGAGAAGAAATAAGGAGACCAAATTCAGTCTGTTAGCTGAATAAGCTTCTAAAACCCAATGTCCTAGCCAGCAAAGTTTAGAAATTCTCTCTCCTGAGAGCCACCAAGCCAGCAGAAGTTCAGTTTGCTGAGCTGTTATTATTTGTTATTATTTCAACATACATCCCAACTCGTTTGCTTCCCACCCTCCACCCCCAGTTCTCAATCTGACCATTTGGAACAACTGGACAATTAGCTGCCTTAGACAAACAAAATGTCTTACTATAAGAACATGCCAAACATGTTAACAACTAACTTCCAGTGCATATGGACCCCTGTTTTTAATTAAGACACGAGAGTTGAAATAGTATTTTAAAAGCGTAACTTACTGATAAACACCATTATATACAAGGAACTGGGTTATCAGAGTTGCTACAAAGGCTATTGTAATTCCAAGTCCGAGACCACTTCTTGAACGATCAAATGTCCACCAAAGACCCAGTGATAAGGCTGCTAGAGTCAGGGACAGCTGGATGTTGTTTGCAAAATCTAGTTTCTGGAAAAATATGTTAAGGACAATCCTTTTAAGTCTGCGGACATCCTGCTGCTGAAACTGAACAAAGGAGAAGTCAAATTGCAAGCGAGCATGATTCTGTATCTCCAAGTACAATATGTTAAGGATCTGATTTTCAGACCTGCTGAGCAATCATAGCTCTTGCTGACTTGGACTGGAGTGTGAGTGCAAAGGCAACATCAATTTGTCACACTGAGCATCTAAAGAATATACTATATTACAACATATTTCACTTTTATGGATTTTTGTCTCAAGGTACCTAGTTATCGCTGCTGATTTAGGTTTTCTGCTCAAACCATCATTAGTCAACACAAAGAATACTCTTACTGAAGAGTTCAGTGTACCTCACTAGTTAATTGCGTTAACTATTAGATGTAGACAACATACAGATTAAAATAACACAACTTACACTGTTATGCTTGCAGTTAAACCAGACATACTGTGTCTCTCCCTCTTCCCTGCCAGATGCACACCCCCCCCCCAACTAGTTTTAAGTGAACTGTGTTACCTGTCTGAAAGTAACTATTGCAGTGTACAGTTTATACCTGTGCCAGTAGCACCATCCTTACCTTTGCAATTCTTGCAGCTGTGAACTGGGGAGACTATTTCATGACAACAGACTAAGCACATCGAGCAACAATGTAAACTAGTTTAAGGATACAGCACTTGCATGGTTAATGCCAACGAAAACCGCTATACATCGCATTACGCTGGCCCACTCTCTCTTGAATTTGTGTGGTTCCCCAAGGTGGCTGTCAATGCAGGGATACAGCAGGCCAACGACAGCTGCAAGAGAAGGAACACTACTTGTACTAACCATTACACAATGATTACTTCAACAGTACTAAATATTGGCTTGGCAAATAAATGCTTGACAAAGTAGTGAGGTCCTTATCACGCTACAGTAAGCCTGATGAAGAAGAGACAATTATTACCCCCCCGCCACTTTAGAAAAGAAAAAAACCCCACATTCTAACAAGCAATATTCTGTTTGAACCTTTAAAGCAGAGATATATATTACAATGTTAAGGTATCTGACTTCAAGCTACTTTTCTGCTATAAATATCTATCACTTGACATCCTGAGCAGATGCTTGTTTTGTGCCAATAAATAACAAGCATAACAAGAAGCTTAATTCCACTGAGGAATGGAGTATGCCTTTATTGCTCATGTACAGGGCAGACAGTTTTATGAACTTGACTCATTAGCTGTGAATCAAGCCCTGAATTAAATATTTGCCTGGACTCCAAAGCTTCTTGGCAGACCTGCTTTCTCTCCTTCTGCTGGGCTGCAAGTCAGACTATGCTGCCTTCCAAATCACATTAATTTTGATACCAAATAGAAGCAGAGCTGAACTTCAAGAAGCACCTGCCATCAGTCATATTTATGTCAGGAAAAAATAACTACTCATACTATCAACTAGACAAAGTTTTTATCCTCATATAGCATTTTCTCAGTCTTACCAGTCTGCAAATTCATTGCAGATGAAAAACAAAGGCTAGTGTTAGCTTAGTTATTAGCACAAACACTAGATGAGTTTCATTATTCTAAGCCTTGCAACTCCATGTGTTGTTGCCCACTCCAGGGATGGACATGCTGCTGTAACTTCATGTAACATGTATGTTTCCTTCCCCCCCCCTCCTTAAACTCCTAAGAGGAATAATGTCTATATTAAGGCAGCTACAAGACATACATTCGAAGAAAAACATGTGATCTGACACTGAAAGAGCTTCATTATTTTGGTGCCAGTTACCAGGACTTGTACTGTACAGTAACAGCTAAATGCCAAAGTTTAATCCAACAGTGACAGGCCTATAAGACCCCTCAACGGAGCATATCCCGTGGCAATCTCTTTACTATGCAGTTTATCATTCGTTCAAATTTCCCTTACTATGAGGTACAAGTAGCGCATGACAGCATCACTGCATTAAGAAAAACCATGCAAGAGTTGTTTAAAGTACTTTCAATGCGGATTAAAAGAGATTACAGTGGCTTTATTCCCCAAGATTTAACTCCTTTTTAATCCCCCAACCCTGCATCGAGGCTTTTTGTTGACAAGGATAGGAGCCGGTTATTAACGCTAACGCACCGGTAAGTGCCGGCCGCTGCGCCAATGAGGCCCCGGGGCTTCACGGGCCGTTCCGCGCTGCGGCTCCGGAGCCGCTCCCAGTGGCGGG